CAGGCTGACTCTCTAATCACTGAGCCAAAACGGCCAGGGCTTCTTTTTCTTTTTAATTTTTATTTTTTAACTTATCTTTATTGTTGAATGTATTTATAGATGTCCCTCCTTCCCCCCCCTTAACCCCCGTCTCCACACCCCCGCCCCCCAAGACTCCCTCCTGCCTTCCCCACCCTATTTTTTGTGTCTTTTGGTAATGCATATATATATATAAATTCTTTGATTTCTCTCTTCCTGCCCCACCTCTCCCTTCCCTTTGAGGTTCATCAGTCTAACAACCAATTTGTACTTCTTAATACCTTCATCTTTTCACCCATTGCCCCATCCCCCCTCACATCTGGTAACTAACAAAAAGTTTTCTGTATCTATGAGTCTGTTTCTGATCTGCTCATTTTGTTTGTAGATTCAATTGCTGATAGATATGTATTTATTGCCATTTTATTGTTCATATTTTTTTGTCTTTTTCTCCAAGAAGACTTGTCAACATTTCATATAATATTGGTTTGGTGGTGATGAACTCCTTTAGCTTTCTTGTCTGGGAAACTCTTGATATGTCCATCAATTCTAAATGATAGCTTTGCATGATAGAGTAATCTTGGTTGTAGGTTCTTGCTATTCATCACTGTAAATATTTCTTGCCTCTCCCTTCTGGCCTGCAAAGTTTCTTTTGATAAATCGACTGACAGTCTTATGGGAGCTCCGTTGTAGGCAATGAACTGCTTTTCTCTTGCTGCTTTTAAGATTCTTTCTTTGTCTTTAACCTTTTGCATTTTGATGATGATGTGTTTTGGTGTGAACCTCTTTGGGTTCATCTTGTTTGGGACTCTCTCTGCTTCCTGGATTTGTATGTCTGTTTCCTTCACGAAGTTAGGGAAGGTTTCTGTCATTATTTTTTAAAATGGGTTTTCAATTTCTTGCTCTCTCTCTTCTCCTTCTGCCACTCTCATGATGTGAATGTTGGTACATTTGAAATTGTCCCACAGGCTCCTTACACTGTCCTCATTTTTTTTTGGATTTTTTTTCTTTTTGCTGTTCTGATTGGGTATTTTTTCTTCTTTATATTCCAAATCGATGGTTTGCTTCTTGGCTTCACCTACTCTACTATTGATTCCCTGTAAGTTACTTTTTTTATTTCAGTTAGTGCATCCTTTATTTCTGACTGGTCCTTTATTATGCTCTTGAAGTCCTCACTAAGTTCATTGAGTGTCCTTATAAGTAGTGTTTTGAACTCCGCATCTGTCAGATTGCTTATCTCCATTTCATTTGTTGTTTTCCTGAAGTTTCATTCTGTTCTTTCATTTGGGACATGTTTCTTTGTGTTCTCATTTTGGCTGCCTTCCTGTGTTTGTTTCTATATATTAGGTAGAGTTGCTATGTCTCCTAGACTTCTAGGGTGGCCTGTTGTAGTAGGTGTTCTATAGGGTCCAGTGGCACAGCTGCCCTGGTCATCCTGCTGGGCCCTTGAGGTACACCCCTTGTGTGGATTTCATACCCATCTGTTGTAATTGAGTCTTGATTGCTATTGGCAAGTCAATGGGACGGTTTTATTGAGGCTGATCAGCTGCAAGGACTGGCTGTGCCCACTATCCACTGACCTCTGATTACCTTGGATGATCAGCTGTGCAGGGGCCCACCAGTGCTGAATTTTAACACTGGCATAAATTTGTGTAATGGCTAAATGAATAGACTTTCAGAGCCTGAGGGGACCTTGGGATTCTAAGTGGATATAATGAACCTGTGAGTGAAATTCCTAGTGCCTCTTTGTGAATCTAAGGAGAATGTTATTCCTTACTGGATCTAAGGAAAGGGCTCATTAAAAGGTCTTTCATATGCTTTTTTTCAAAACAACATTACTCAAAAGTCAAGCTCATTTTACACTTTATAAACTAACTCAGGTGGCCAAGGTCACCCAACACACAGAGGCCTGAACTGTACATGAATTGGGCTCCTGTTTTATTTTTTAAGAGCAATTCTCAAATTTAATGTGCATATAAATCTCCAATGTCAAATAAGTTCACCTTCATCACAACACAAGTACCAGTAAAACCTAAATTTTATAAATCATTCAAACTTTATTTTGTGCCTAGAAATCTCATGCCCCCCCCTTTTCTCTGCAAAATTCACTCAATTCCCTAATTAAGCCAGCCTAGAAATATCCTTTTTGCAGACTCTTTTGTACTCATGATTATTTTTTGTCTTTGGCCAAAACTATGAACTGTAAAATAACAGCAACAATAACAACATAGTAATAATTGATCTCAATTATTTTTCAATCTTGGAAGTTTGAAATTTTGTGTTAAAGTTTGAATCTGGGTCAACTGGAATTTCAGCTGAACTGGTTTATCCATCCTGAGAGATTAGTTCCTAAGAGAATCTCTGACTTATTTAAAAGGAAAGAGAATTTAAGGATTTCTATTAAGTTGAATGAGGCCTCAAGAAAACTGATCTTAAAAAGAGAGAATTCTGAAATTATGAACAGACACTGGTAAATATTAAAGCCACGGAGATTCGGTAAAAAGCCCAGTAGCACGTTATTCTTTTTCTCTTCAATTTTGTATTTCTTTGTTGATTGCCAGTATGAAGCATTTTCAGAATCTCCTTTTTAATCAATTAGAGTAAAGAGAGAAGGAAAGAAAAACAACTCTCTAGGCAGCACAGTGCTGCTCTGTTTGTTCAATTTGTTGCTACAAGCTGACAGGTTTATTTCCTGTTGACAAACTGTTCGATGGCACAAGTCATGGGGCAGTGCTGGAGCAGGAAGGTAACACTCTTGAGAGACAGGTCAAACTGGACACCAAAGCCTGAGAAGGGATTCTATTTGGGTGAGGAATTTGGAAGCTTTCTCTAGGGCTAGAATGAGGTCATTTATTACGGCAGCCTCAGAGTGTTACTTAGTAAAGGGTGTCCTTACCCATAGAATGGTGACGAGGAGTTGCACTATCAAGAATGATGATGATGATTAAGTGGTTATTATGTGACAGACACTGTGCTCAATGCAAATTACCTAACTTCAATCTATGTATAGTAACACCATAAGGTAGGAATATTTATAGCCCATTTTATATTGAGGAAATGCAGGCTTAGTGAGGTTAAGGAATTTTCACAAAGTCCCCCAGCTCATAAATGGCAGAGTTGGAACTCAAACCAATGTTTGTCTGATTTAAAAACCAAAATGCCAACAGATACATTAAAAATTAATTAGTGAGAATTACCAAACTCAAACAAAAACTTTGGAAACAACAATTGAATATAATTATCACTGTTAAAATAATATGTGTAGCTTACTCCCACTGGTTTACTACATATGTTCTTGTGTTTATAAGAGGGTTGTATAGATAGAGAAGTCAGTGTAACTACAGGGAGAAGTTGAGAAGGACATGCACCAGACTGTCAAACTCCGGAGTCAGATGAGGTGAGTAAAGGGAGGACTTGACTTCTTCATCTATTTTTGTTTTTGAAGTGGTGGGATTACAGTATATTTCATAAATGAAATTAGTTTTAAACAGGACAAAAATCATCTGTCTCAATGCTAATTTATGAACCTAAAGTTATAAAATCTTGGACTTTTATGAAATAGTTCATGAACTATTTTTTTTGGTATGTGCCCCTAGCAGGAACTGAACCCGGGACTCTCTGGTCCGCAGGCCAATGCTCCAACCGCTGAGCCAAACTGGCCAGATGTTGAAAATGTATGGCAGCCCCTTTTAACTTTTTTTTTTTAATTGCAAAAGGTATAAGTGTAAATTTTATAATATATAGACAAGGCATAAATAAAAATTCCTAGCAATTCTCATAATCTTCCCAGTGAAGTAGAGTGGTAACACTCCACCATGTAATGGTTCTTGCAGACTGTTTTAGTTCCTGCTTATTTCTAAGTTATACAAACATCGAAAAAGCTATGGCACTGTGAGTCAATCACCCAGTGGCAATTTTCTACACACTTTTTTCTATGCATATATACTTTTTAAAATATATACTTTTTAAAAAAGTATAGGAATCTTAATGTTTGTCTACACAAAAACTAGTATACAAATGTTTATAGCAGCACTATTCATATAACAGTCAAAAAGTGAAAACAACCCAAGTGTCCATCAACTGATGAATGGATAAAGAAAATAGGGTATAGTTTATACAATGAAATTTTATTTGGCAATAAAAAGGAATGAAGTACTGACACATGCTACAACGTGATGAACATTATGCTAAGAGAAAAAAGCCAGTCACAAAATATCACATATTGTAGGATCTCATTTATAAGAAATGTCCAGAACTGGCAAATCTATAGAGATGAAAGTAGAGTAGTGTTGCTTGGGGCTGTGAGAGAGGGTAAGGAAGGGATGAGAAGTGACTACTAGTGAGTACGAGGTTTCATTTTGGGGAAATGAAAATGTTTTAAAATCAAATTATGGTGGTGATTGCACAACTCTATACTCAGAACTAATGAATGCATCCACTTTCTTTTAAAAATTTTTTCTTTTATTGATTTTAGAGAGAGAGAAAGGGAGAGGGAGAGAGAGACAGAAACATCGATGAGAGAGAACATCAATCAGCCGCCTCCTACATGGCCCCAACTAGGGATTTGGCCCACAACCTGGGCATGTGCCCTGACCAGGAATTGAACTGGCGACCGCTTGGTGCTAGGTCGATGCTCAACCACTGAGCCACACCTGCTGGGTGAATGGGTACACTTTTATGGCATATAAATTATATCTCAATAAAACTTTTAGAAAGCCTTATGGAAGTGTTTTATGAATGTTAGCATAGATGTAAATTATGAGTTCTAGAAAATTTAGCCTTTTTCTGAATTTTCCTTCTTCCCTCTATATCACTGCACTCCCAACACTCAACCCCAGGAAGAAACTTGGTTGATTGTGGTTCTTTTTATAGAGAATCCCCACCCCCTACCCCTCACCCCGCCCAGTGTTTTGAACCCATTTGGTAGATACCCTTTTTGAATCAGCAGTCCACAGATGTAAATAAAACAAAGCAGCAGTACCTACCTTCGATAATATGTTTTCTTGACAACCCTCTTTCCGTTTCAGCTCTAACAAGAAAAAGAAGCAAATGACTTTGAGTGGGGTGTGCTTTCTTTTATCGCTGTTTCGAAAGTACAGAAGAATAGTCATTCTAGACTGAATTGCTAATTTTATACCCTGTTCTTGGCAAATTCTGCACCACTGTCGGCTGAGGAGAGAAGGCTGGTGGGCAGCACACTGAGCCCCTTTTCTTCAGAGACCCCAGGAGGTGAAGTAACCATGACTGTCAGCACACCATGGTAATAACAACTCAGCCACCCACATCCTGTCCATATATAATTTGACACATGGCTCAGCCTTTCCACCTTGTTCTTATCAATCTCAAGCAAACGCAATGCAACGTAATGCAATACAATACAACACAATGCACTATAAGGCTTGATATACGTTTGTGAACTTACTATCAGATTGCCATATCAGATTGTTGATGTCATAGCTTTTCTGAGAAAGGAAGCGAATTTGAAAGTACCTTTTGACTTTCAAAAGAAATGAACAACGATTGTCTTTTAAAATGAGACCGAACAACTTTTCTTTAAATTAGTATCCTAACAAGACCAGCTTTTAACCAGTACTTTTGCCTTTTCAGATTATTCTCAAACTCTGGCCAATTGGGAAGAAATGTGGTCCTCGAGTTTTACAGTATTGATGAAATACTTCAACATCAATACATTTGCTAATCTTAGTAGTTTACCATTTGTCTTTGGTGATTTTGTATCTTTTATAAGTATATTAGATAATGTATGTAGTACTCTATTACATACTGGTTCTTGCAGATTGTCTTACTTCCTGATTCTTTCTAAACCATAGGCAAGGTTTTGAGCACCGCTGTAAAACACCAAGCAATGGCACCAGGAATCAGAGCACGGACAATGTCAATCTACATTTCTCATAGGCACCGTGTCGCTTTACTTTTATATAGACTACAATGGTAGTACAAATCTAAACTCCATTTCCCTGTTTCACATTGACCATAAGCAGGCTCAACAACAGCTATAAAATATGAGTGTATGTGTGTACGTGTGTGTACACATGTATATTTTGATTATAAGATTTCCAAAACACTGGCCTCTGCCTCCAATTTTTTTTTTTTTTTATCCTCACCCGAGGATATTTTTCCATTTTTTGTTCAGATAGAGTGGGAGGGAGAGAGAGAGAGAGAAACATAGATGTGAAAGGGACACATCGAGTGGCTGCCACCCACACAACCAACCAGGGCCGGGGACAAACTGCAACTGAGATACATGCCCTTCGCGGGAACCAAACCCGGGTCTCTCAGGACTGCAGGCTGACGCTCTAACCGCTGAGCAAAACCAGCCAGGGCCAATTTTGTTTTTAACTATTCCCCACCAATTATAGGAAGGTAAATAAGGTTTTGTTTGTTTTTTGTTAAGAAATCTTTGAGATTTCCATGAAAAGCTATATGGAATAGCTTGCTATATTCCTACATGTCGTGTTAAAGGCCAAGACTTCTAAGTCCTGCTGGATAATGTGAGCACCAGTTCAAACACCAGTAGGTCCATCAGAGACCAGTTCATCCTGGGACATTTGTTGTGCACCCCACACCAGACAGGACTTCCGTTCCTGTGGCCTGGCAGCCAGTGAAATGGGAATCTTTGTGTTATTCTCCCACGAGATGCCCCTTTTGATCAGCACTTTCGGAGACCTCTGCAGAAATGATCCGACTTACACCGGGGACCAGACAAGATATTTTTGTCTTCACATTCCATAGACGTCTCTGAGTGTTGGCAGATTTGAGTAGCTTTTCTTCTGTGATGCTATGTGCTTATTTCCTTTTCCCAAAATTTGAACTCTATTTTGGAAACAGTTCTAAGTATGAGGTTGGTATTTGAAAAATCTCCATGAATCACTTAGTAACAAGTGACCACATGCTTTGCACTAAATTTCTTTGGGAGCATTTTGCTAAAACTGAATCCTAGGCTAATTGCTTATTTCTGTCAAGTGAAAAACAATAATCTTTCTCTCTAAACCAATTGATTTTTGTGTGTTCGCTGTAAAATGGTTGCCTAAAATGATAAAAGCAAGTAGGGAAAAGAAAAATTATTTAACTTACTTTCCACCCCAGTAGAGTTTGGTTGTTATGACCAGGCTGGACCTCCTGTATGTTAAACAGACAAACACACACAGAGAGAAATATTAAATAAATTATTGGTCATTGTACTGAGTCATATTATTATTATAACACCCAAAAATGTATTGTACCTCACATTAAAAAAAATTGATAGAGATAAATTTGTTAATGCATAGCACTAAAATGTAAGAACAAAGAGGAGTTAGTGAGTGGGGACTTGGGGTCAGATCCCAGAGGAAGAGGTTGAGTGGAAGTGACCTTTACCTGGAGGGGCTGAGGAGGTTGAGAGCTGTGACAACAAGCTGGTGAGTGGGTGGGGGCAAAGCGAAGGTAAGTGGTAGACACAGAGGGTCAGAAGGAGTGAAGGAGAAGGAGAAGTGAAAGGACTAATGATGGATAGCTTCAGGATCTCAAACAAATAGCCATCCATGAACACTTGGCATTTGACAGAACCTTGATTGAGCATAAACCTTCCTGGGATTAAGTGCACCCTCAAGGACCCTGGACTAGTGGCTCTGAATTACTACCCTTTCCACCATCACTCTCACAGGCAGGAACTGACTACATGGACATATGAATGATGAAGTAAATTACAATAGTCAATAAGTAGGAATACAGCCCTGGCCGGTTTGGCTCAGTGTTGGAGCGTCGGCCTATTGACCAGAGAGAGAGAGAGAAAAAAAAAAAGTAGAAATACAATTTCTATGAGTATCTTCTTAAATGGAAATGTTATTTTAGGAAAACAGTTAAAAAACCCTTAACTCAAAGTTTTACCACCTTACTCTTAAGGGAATGCAGTGTGGGAATCTTGTCAACAAACACATTACCCTCTCAAAACCACACTCAACAGGAGGAAATGTCATTATGATTGTGGAATGAGAAATCTCTCGAGAACTATGGTTATATAATTTAAAATTGGGAGGCAGATCTTGGTGTAATTTAGTTTCTCCAGGTATGTAATTCAATTGGTCTTGTCTAGAAAAAAAATAATTTGTGATTCAAAGGTTAAGACCAGACTTTGGGACTGTTTGACATAGGCATTTATAATGCATCGGCTGCAGTGGCGCCGCCTCTGGGCCCTCAGGTATAAAAGCCTAGCATGATTAATGATAACCAGTGGGGAACCATGGTGACAAGTCTGACAATTTGGCTGCAACAAGAAAAACTTGTAGAAAATGTTAGCGACTGCATCCCACTGAAGCTAATTCACTGAAAAGTCATTTGAAACACTGTAATGGAAAGTCTACAGATAAAAGCATCTGAAGATTACACACCCCAGAAGAGCTCATCGTCAACCTCGTGATAACTAGTAGTAGTGATCTGCCGTGGGAGGGGGGGACCAGGTCTCCTTTAGAAAACATTTTCAGAGCTTCAACAAAGGGCTGGATGGAATAGTATAAAAAAAAAAACGAATGCAGTCCTCTTGATTATTTGGAACATTTGGACCCGCCAAACTGCACATTCTACCCGGATACTCCCACCATAGACTTAGTGTTCCTCCAAAGTGAGGTTTTCTGTAGAAGGTTTGGCCTGTGTGTGTGCACACTAACATTAACAGACAAACAGCAAGAGTAGACAGCAGCCTGGCACATTCTCACTGACCCCACGGAGGCATTTAGAGTGGGTGGAGAGCGATAGTATGAATGTTTTACTTGGATGTGGCACAGCCTTCTAACGACTTCGGCACACCTTATGTCACTTTATCAACATGACACTTTATGAACAGCTATGACGTCTGTTTTACAGGTGGAAAAATGGAGACTCGAAGAAGTGAAGTCACTTGTCCTGAACAGCAGAGCTAGCGAGTGGTGGCCCTGGGCCTAGATGCCAAGTATGCTCTCAACGAAATTTCTCATTTAGACTCCATGCTATGATGACAGACTTTCTCTTTCACCAGTGTTTTGCGGGCAACGGTGAATGGACCTCAGTATTCTGTGGCCTGATGATAGCTTGAGTTTTTTTTTTTTTTTTGTACAGATAGAGTGGGAGAGAGAGAAAGGAAGGGAGAGAGAGAGAGAAACATCGACGTGAAGGGACACATCGAGTGGCTGCCACCCGCACGACCAACCAGGGCCAGGGCCAAACTGCAACCAAAGTACGTGCCCTTAGCGGGAACCGAACCCGGGTCTCTCTGGACCGCAGGCCGTCGCTCTAACCGCTGAGCCAAACTGGCCAGGGCGATAGCTTGAGTTTTTAGTTGTGAAACTAAAAGGCAGTTTATGAAAGATGCATGTTAATCTGCTTTCTTGTAGGTATACAGTAGGCTCTGCAAACCATGGAGAATGATGGCTAAATGTCCTCTGGGCGTCTAGGGGGACAGAGCCACTGCGCAGACGCTGCCCTCTTTCCTCAGGTGGACTCTGTCAGCCTGCCTCTCGCTGCAGATCTCACTGGACTGCTAGTGGCCTCATCAAGGTCTCTGTCACAGGTTGAACTATGTCCCTCAAAAAGATGTTACTAAAGTCCTAACCCCCAGTACCTCGGAATGTCAGCTGTTTGAACATAGGGTCATTGCACATGTAATTAATTAAATTAAGATGAGGTCATACTGGAGAACAGTGACCCCTTGACCCAATATGACTGGCGTCGTAAGGAGACAGATGCACATGAGGGCAGAGGGCCAGGTGATGACAGAGGCAGATGTCGAAGACCTGCCTGCGTGCCAAGGAATGCCGACTATTGCCAGCAGCTGCCCGAAGCTAGGAAGAGGCCAGGAGGAGTCTACCTAGAGTTTCGGGGGGATGTGGGTCTGCCCAAACCTTGAGTTTGGACTTGTGGCCAGAAGGGTGAGAGAATGCGTGTCTGCTGGTTTAAGCCACTCAGGTCGTGGCGCTTCGTTGTAGCAGCCCCAGGAAATTGATACTGTCCCTATTTGTACAAGGGTAGATGGACCAGCATACTGAGAGGGCATGCAACTCAGGCAGGGTGGGGGCCTGGGTGGGCAGATGAATCTTTTTCCATATTTAACGTTGAATATGGTTCTTTCTGAACATGCCTATATTCCCTGGAGTTGGGGAGGACGAGAAGTGAGAGAGAAAAAGTAGGTCACCAAACTTTATTTGTTGACAGCTTCATCCACTTCTGGTTTTCTATTTCCACGAGGCCTCTTTTCCTACCAAATGTTTCTCTAAGAGTGAGGAGTAAGCAGCCCTGAGACTACGTGGAGCAGTTCTGCCCTTCTAGGTTCCCCTCCAGAGGGAGTTTAAATGCTTTGTGGAGAGGCATAAATAAATCTTGAGCTATATTCTGCAAGAATGTCCCTTTTTCCTAGACCAGCGGTTCTCAACCTGTGGGTCACGACCCCTTTGGGGGTCAAACGACCCTTTCACAGGGGTTGCCTAAGACCATCGGAAAACACATATTTCCAATGGTGATTCATAACAGTAGCAAACTTACATTTATGAAGTAGCAACAAAAATAATTTTGTGGTTGGGGGTCACCACAACATGAAGAACTGTATTGAAGGGTCACGGCATTAGGAAGGTTGAGAACCACTGTCCTAAAGTTATACAAGCTGTGTGTATGTGCAGAGGTGCAGGGTTCTCTGCACAGCTGTCTCACTAATACTATTGAATTGTTATTTATTTGGCTATCAGTGTGATTATACCAGAGCAGAAGAGGACCCCAAACTTGCCCAGTGGTCTTTGTTGGGCTTTGCCTGATTCTGTACTCATGCTGGGGAGGAAGGGGGTATCGGGGCTGACATGCATAGTGACATGGAGGGTGTTATGGCATCCATCATAACCACTGGCTTTGGCTACAGAAGGTGAGGGGATGGGGTGTGACCCCTCAAGGACAGCAGATGAGGTACTTTCTTGAATGCCCAGACAACAAGGCTCCCAGACACGGGAGAGACACTGGGAGATAAGAAGGCTATGGGGTACTTATCCCAAGGGCTTCATATTTCATCATCTCTTTGCATTCAGGTTGTTAATAAAATGAACAATGAACATAAATACATGTGTATAGACAATCACCTTCCTGTCAGCTGGCTTCCTTCACCAAATTACCCTAAGTGGCAGTCAGAAGCCATGAAGATGTCCCTTTCTTTCATTGACAAATACCTCCCGAACATTCTCTCATCCTTGGCTCAACCCCATGGTAATTCATTGTGATTAATGACTAGTCAATACATTTTGAAGCACAAATAATGAACTTGCAGGTATGTATCTTCACACCACTGTAAATAATTTCTTTAGAAGCCAACTAAGAGTTGACTCTTTTTTGGGCAACCTTTTGGTCAGTTTTCATACAATTTTATTTTCCTTTCTCTGATACAAAATCATGCAAGGCTTTTTAAAGGCAAGTAAATGATGATGGTGAATGCATTACCTCCAGCCTTTCTTCTTGATGATGCTCCCCAGAATGACTTCTGCCCTGGAGGGGAAAACAGACCATGTCTTAGGGTACAGTGGCCTGGAAAGGCAAGGGTCGATCCAAAACACCAGAGCCACTCTTTGTTTGAACTCTCAGTGGCTCCACGTCCCGAAAATAGAAGCTGCTCTCGGCTGGCAGCACAGTTTCCGCTGTTTCTGCTGTGCCTGCAGAATCCTGCCCCAGAGCAGTCCAGAGCACCTGCCAAAGCCTGACATGCTGGCAGGGGGCCACCTGTGGTCCTGATGCTAAGGAGCAGCGGAGTCATTTGGCAGTTTGGTTTTTAAACCACTGATCTCATCTGTAAATGTCCTGCTTGGCAGTGTCCGAGGGCAGTCAAGGTTTTCCGTCTATTTGCTAAGGTTTCCAGTTGTGACCCAGGAGGACGATGAGGCTGCACACTGTTTAGACAGACAATATCAACTCCCAGGAGACCTTGCAGGATAAAAGAACCTGTGCATGGGTTTAGATGTCCTAGACATAAGGGCTGCAGTGTTCCAGTCCTGTGTTCCAGTGACAAGCCCTGTCATAGAAGCAGGACATAAGAAAGTATAGTGTCCTTCCTGCACCTAAGGCTGGGTCGCAGAGGTATTCTGAGGACATACCACTGTCTTCTCCCAGCTACCTAGCCCAGCTGGGACCCAAGCTTGAGGAGACAAACTTTCTTCCAGGTCCCTCCCAGTAAGACTGAGAAAGCTTTGCTCTCAGAGGCTTTGTGAATGGGGACATCAATGGAATTAGCACTCTGTCCATTAGGGTCCTATAGATGGGAGTCGTCACTAATCATTATGCGTCTTGACTGAAAGTTCATCTTCGTTGGAGTGGATTTGGGAGCCTGGCACAAGCCATGAGGCAGTTAGCTATGGAGCATGTCTCAAACAGACACGTGCTGAATGTTACTCAGTGTTCTTCCTTCCGCCCCTTCTGTCTCTCTGATGACTGCCTTTTGCAACTTTGCTTTTTACAGTGGGAACCTATCTCAGTTACACACTGACAGTCAGAAATGAACCAGGACTGATAATTCTTCACAATAGGAACACAAACACAACTCTAACAGACCTATTCCCCACTCCCCCCTTTTTCAACCTTAGCCCCATTTTCTCTCCTTGGACTCAACAGAAAACATCAGGGCTGTGGGCTCTGAACCCCCTTGATGGTCCTTGGACACAGACCTGCCCTTGAAAAGGAGGAAACCTACACCGGGCCAGTGTACCAGGCAATGGTGAACCTGATTCAGCAAGTGCAGCATTTTGATTGTAATTCTCCCCTGGAGCAGGGTGGGGTGGGGGTGGGGAATTAGGCTGGCAGGTGATCATGCACCACAACCCTGTCAGAAAATTGCAGAGCGGCTCAAGCAGCTGTCCAGCTATTTAGTACCTTTCAGTTCTTGGAGCAGTGTCCATGTTCACAGTAGGAGGCCAAGGTGTTCCTGTTCTGTTCTGAAATGTGCTTTCACACTGCATCCTGGAGGACATGGGCCTTGGGGCTCTCCTGAAGGCACATTGCCCATGTGCTCTGATTTAGCAGTGAGCCCTGTCCTAGAGCCCTAACCTGCCGTCGGTCCTACAGGAAGGTTGTAGCTGGATGTGACTTCCCCAGCAAAAGGAGCGAGGCCTCTTTGCAGCCCTGTCTGTCCTCAGAGTGGGGTCTGAAATGCCCTCGTAAAAGCTATTGGATGTCTTGGCATCTTTAGGGATTCCTCCTTAGTCTCTGATCTACCCGTAATGCTGCGTGGAACGGGAAAGTCAGTTCCTGCTTCCCTGCGGGGAGGCCGGCCCAGTTTCCCTCAGGGCTGGAGGCACTGTGAGGCGTGGTTCTGAAATCACAAGACTAGCTTTTGAACGACCACATTGGAATTTGCTCGCTTATTTGCTCACTCATATATGGAACTAATCTTTATTGATCTCCTCTGCCACCACTCGACCCAGCCACCCTGCCCTCATGCAGACCACAGAAATTCCTTCCAGTCCACTTGTCATACAGGGACCAGAGGTGGGGAGGTTGGCAGAGGGGGTCAGTCTCCCTGAGACCTGCCGGCGGTGGTGGAGAGAGGGAGAAGAACAGAGCCAGAATGCCCGGGAAGGGCAGACCCTTCTCGTCAGCACGCCAGCAATGTTTTGGGCAGAGTCTTTTGGTTCTAGAAATGTCACCTGGGGGCACGGGCAGGCACCGACTTACTTCCCAGCGGCATAGACCTCGGCAGTGTCGAAGAGGTTAACTCCGCTTTCGTAGGCGATCGTCATCAGCCGCTCAGCAACCTGCAAGGGGACGACAGAGGCGGTCAGAAAAGCCAAATGCTTCCGAAAGCCAAGCAGTTCTGATTCCTTTCGTGGTCTTTAAGAAAACCAGAATTTCCCTAACCACTCCTTGTTTTTCTCAGCTGTAGCAAAGAAAGCAAGCAGTTCGATCCGCGAGCATCCGTAGGGTGCATGTGTCCTCCCCTCCGGCACGGACGGCGCCGAGGATTTCCCTCAGCGCCTGGACAGGGCAGCCGGCAGGAGCGCAGCGAGGTGGACAGATTGCTTGTCACTCTTCCTGAAGGCCTGGGCCTGGTTTGACAATCTCTTTGGCACCCTAATCTCTCTGACGCAGAGGATAGTTTGTTTTGCGGCGATTCCATTTCTTCTTTCTCCAAGCCAGTAGGTTGCAGCACTTGGGTGACAGGTGACTTAAAAGTTCGGGCCTCTGCCCGGGAGGGTGTGGCTCAGTGGACTGAGCGTGGTCCCATGGACTGAGAGGTCCCGGTTCAATTCCTGGTCAGAGCATAGGCCCGGGTTGCCGGCTCGATCCCCAGTAGGGGGCGTGCGGGAGTGGCCAATCGATGTTCTCTCTCATGGATGTTTCCATCTCTCTCTCCCTTCCTCTCTCTCTGAAAAATCAATAAACACATATTAAAAAGTTTTAAAAAATAAGTTTGGGCCTGCCTGGCTGGTGTGGCTCAGTGGTTGAGCGTAGACCCATGTACCAACAGGTCGCCAGTTCGATTCCTGGTCAAGACACATGCCCAGATTGTAGGCCTGATCCCCGTGGGGGGCATGCAGGAGGCAGCCAATCAACGTTCAAAACATTTATAATTTAAATAAGTTTGGGCCTTTTTTCCTCAAAGCTTAGAAGACCGTTTTGATGAACCAAAGATTAGACAGAACTGTGACCATTTAACTCAGCAAAACCCCAGACACCACCAGAATGGCCAGCTGGCCAAATCCACTGGACCCGCAGAGGAGGAGGAGCACAGAGACCCAGCTCCTCGCTGTCAGCCTGCAAACAGATCTGCAGGTGTCTGTCCCCTCCTTTGTGTGCTGAGTGCGGGTGCAGGTGTGCTGACAGTGTGGGGATCGCTGCAAACACCTGCTGGGGGGAGGACAGCCACAGAGGAACAGCGAGAAAGAGCAGAGGAGAGGGGCCATGTTTTCATTGAAATTTATTAATCAGTTGGGAAATTACACACCTCACAGATAATTAAAATGGATTTTCCCATTATGTTTTTGATTGTGAGCTGAAGTTGCTTCATCAACATTTCAAGATAAACTATTTTCCTGTTTTTAAAATTGGCTGACCAGGAAAATTATTAGGCTAGCAAAATGAAGTCCCTATAAATCTTTTAGAAAAACAGCAGCAGAAGTACTAATACTTCTTTTAATTTGGTACCATTATGACATGTACCCCAAGTAGAGATTAAAGGTTAAGACAAGCCCTGGCCAGTTTTGCTCAATGGTTAGAGCATCGGCCCATGGACCAAAGAGTCGCGGGTTTGATTCTGGCCAAGGGCACGGGCCTCGGTTGCGGTTTGTCCCAGGCCCTGGTCGGGATCCTGCTGCAGGCAACCAATGGATGTGTCTCTCTCACGTCGGTGTGCTCGCTCTCCTCCTCCTCTCCCTCCCTTTCATTCTATCTAAAGATAAATGGAAAAAATATTCTCAGGTGAGGATTAAAAAAAAAAAAAAGTTAAGACAAGCATAATTTTTTCCATCATGACTGTTTTGTGTTTAAAAAATTATTGTGCTTGTAGTATAACATTATCCTTGAGCTTTGTCACAGGGCATACTGGTGGATTATTGTTGGGAAATGTACATAATGAGTCATAGAGAGATTTCATTTTTTATCCTCACCTGAGGACATTTTTCCTTTTTTTTTTTTTTTTTTGTTCAGATAGAGTGGGAGAGAGAGAGAGAGAGAAACATCGACATGAAAGGGACACATCGAGTGGCTGCCACCCGCATGACCAACCAGGGCCAGGGACAAACTGCAACCGAGTACGCGCCCTTAGCGGGAACCAAACCTGGGTCTCTCTGGACCGCAGGCCGACGCTCTAACCACTGAGAAAAACTGGCCAGGGCTCAGAGAGAGATTTTAAGACAACATGGAGAATCCCAGGTGGGGAGTTGTACTAAATGATTGCTGAGATGTTTCCCAACCATAGCATTTGGAGACCTCGATGTGGAATAATGAAATCTCTGAACCAAGTCAGAAGACCAGCTTCTGGTCTTCAGTGTACTACTTAGTAGATAAATACACTTGGGCGAGTCATTGGACCTCTGTATATTTCTGCACAGTGAGAGTGATCTGCCCAGGTGCCCCATGGAGCCCAGTGGCCCAGAGAAGTCTTACCCCCTTTCTTCCCAGGAGTTAGTATTCTAAGTGAGGCCCAGGATCCCTAAGCTCTCTTGCTGCCTGAGGATGAAGTTCACACACACAGGAATACAGGGCCCAGAGAGCCACTGGGAAACGAAGTGGGGGCCACTGACTGGGTCAGTCCTGGAGCTTGCTCTTCTAGTGTGAAAGTCAAAATCATTCTTTCCTTTATTGGTTAAACCAATTTGAGTTGTGTTTATTGTTACCTGCAATTGAAGGAACCCTAACTAACTTACAGATGAGAAAAAGTAAGTAAAACTCTGAAAATTAAGGGCTATAAGATGATAATACACTCTTACCATTACTTTAAAATATTATTATAGGAATAACACCTATTTTGGTTTTATAATGAAGCCAAATGATCTTTGGGAGTTATCTCATTTCGTGTGGGAATCCTTTTGATAATATCCCTGTCAAGTGCCTATTCAATATATGGTTGAACTCCCCTACTAACGGGGACATCATCACTTCCAGAGGCAGCACATAATGATGTGGTCATCCAGGATCCCATGTTTGTATTTACTTTGTGCTGAGCTCATCTGAAGACAGAAAAATTGGGGAAATCTGGGGAGGTGAATTTGTTGCTACTGGCTTGCATTTTTGCCACGTAGAGATATTTGCGCTCAAGCCAGTCAGCCACTGGTGTGACTGGTCTACCTGTGCCCCCCTTCCTTCTTGCCGGCATCCTCCCTGCAGGGTCTGGGGGGAAGCCACAGTAGTTATTTGTCTGATCCGCATCTGAGGTGAGAGCTGCTCCAGCCACTCATGACAACTTTATTGTGCCATTTTTAGAATCATAATTCTGAAATGATTCATGTCGGAGCCAGCCCCGCGACTCTGACCGGGCAAGCGGGGCCCACTGCGGCAGGGTGGCAAGTGCTGGGAAGGGCAGGGCAAAGATAAAGGGGAAATCGATGGGCTTACAGTTGGCCCCTCTGCTCTGATAAGGAAGATATTTTTGTCTTTTCCCTTCCAAGCACCAAACCAGACAGTAGAAGGTTATGCACATCCTGGATAGGATGGATTATTAACTTTATACCTCCTTCCCTACTTGTCACCTGTTTTGTATTTAAGTCTGCAGTCAGTGCTCTGCTACCTGTGAACCTGCCTCTGTGCCTCCTCCACACACCCTACCTGATGCCAGTCAGAGGGCCCTGTAGTGGACCCTGTGATGGCACCCAGGTCCTCCTTCAGAACTGAAGACATATTCCTGTAGCTGCTTAGGAACCCTGGCCTTCAAACGATCAGCCCTCTCTGGAAATTGCACTTGGCTAAAGAGAGTCGCCTAGCCCAAGCTTCTGCTCAGACATGATAGTAAGAACTACCTTTACAAGGGGCTCGTTCTGGGCCAGGCACTGGGCTCAGCACTTCATGGGCATCATCTCATTAATCTCAGCTGGGATCTTGCTGAGTAGGGGCTGTCATCTGCGTGGACATCGCAACTGTTAGTAAATGTAAATCTTAGTAAGTCTAGTTAATCAGTGGCAGAGTGGGCTGATCCCACTGAGTGTATCCACTCAGAGCACCATCCCTGACTCAGTGGTGCCAGGCAAGGAAGGATGGTAGGGCCTGGAGGGCATTGCCAGCTTAGCTCACTTATGTCATAAAGATATTCTTTTAAAAAATAATTTTCCAATTACAATTTACATTCAATATTATTTTGTGTTAGTTTCAGGGCCACAGCATAGGGGTTAGGGCATTATATACTTTACAAAGTGGTCCCCCTGCTATTTCCTGTACCCACCTGGCACCATACATAGTTATTAAAATATTATTGACTATATTCCCTATGTTGCTTTTTCATCCCCATGACTATTTTAAAAAATTTGTTTTTCCTGTATTGATTTTAGAGAGAGAGGACGTGAGAGGGAGAGAGAGACAGAAACATCGATGAGAGAGAACATCGAATGGCCGCCTCCTGCATGCCCCCCACTGGGGATCAGGCCCACAACCTGGGCATGTACCCTGACAGGGAATTGAACCAGCGACCTCTTGGTGCATGGGTCGACACTCAACCACTGAGCCACACTGGCCAGACTCCCTGTGACTATTTTGTAACTACCAGTTTGCAGTTCTTAATCCCTTCACCTTTTTCACCCAGTCCCCCAGTCCCTGTCCCCTCTGGCAAACATCAGTTTATTCTCTGTATCCAGGAGTCTGTTTCAGTGTGTTTTTAAAAATTATTTTGTTCTTTAGAGTCCACATGCGAGTGAAATCACATGTTATTTGTCTTTCTCTGACTTAACATAACATCCTCTAGGTCCATCCATGCTGGATTGGATTTCACGTGAAAGTATTCTTAAATGCAATGATAAGACTATCACTTTGATAAGTACTGTTTTTGAACTGTAAACGAAAATTCAAAGGAATTTATTGAGTGTCCGCCACCTACTAGTCAAACGGCTATATAAGTGTCTTACAGGCATAACACAAGAGTATGTGGATAAGAAGTTAATTCTTTCTATAGACCTTGAAGGTCCACATTGTTATCCTATTTTACATAGAGAAAGGAAACTCAGAGTGATTGGATTGACTTATCCAAGCTGGGGTGACTAACAGTCCTGGTTTGCCCAAGACTGAGAGACCCCAAGCTAAAATGAGAAAGTCCATATCAACTGGGGCCAGCTTGGTCACTCTAGGTGGAGCTGAAACAAACAAACAAACAAACAAACAAACAAAAACGACAGCAATAAAATCTTTATAAAGTGACTAATATTCATTCCATACTGTTTCCTTCTCTATCTACTGAGCCTGCACATATAATACAGTCTCAAGGGTTAATAGTCTAAATGTGAAAAACACAAGAAACAAGATAACATTGAAAATAATCTTTGAATCAATCGTAGCCATTTCCCGTGATTAAAACATCATCTTGTAAAAGGCCAGAATCAGAGGAAGAAATTTCTGTTGAAGAGCTCTCTCTGCATGCTCTTCGCGTAGCATGATGGGACATAAAAGTAACTTACCTCGTCAGAAATTTGACCTCCAAATGTCACCCATGTTCCTAGAAAAGAATAAAATTTGCACATTACTTATAATCATTTTCCTAATATCGTGTATGATGAGAGAAAACATGTTTTCTTACAAGACTATTTCAACAGGTTGTTCACGAAGGTACCTGGAGGAGGGAAACTTGGGGGCTGAAGCCCAGCCCGTCCTCACCGTCACCAAAGTTGTCCAACAGGAGTCTGCACCCCCTGGAGGAAAGGATGCCTTTCTTCATTCCTAGGCACCATCTATGCTGAGAGCCACCCAGTTTACACAGTGCTTTTCGTCTGACAGAGGACCGTGAACGCTAGTGTGCAGGAAGGCAGTTCACCATGCCTGCTCTGGCTACACACCCGTTCTTGCTCCCACTTAGCCAAGGGGCCACCAGTTCTGAAAGCAACAGTAAAATCTTGGGTTATGTTTCTTTCCTTCATTGTCTTCAACAATTGACTCTGTTTTGTATTCCCTATTACCTTTCAAAAGGACCCCACTTCCAAACCCCAGGACGTGACACACCTTCTCTGTTGTGACCTGCTACTCCAGAATGGAAATCTCCATTGCTTTGGGGCTGGGAGTGGAGGCAGTATGGAGTGAAGATTGGGAAGGCAAGGGAGAGGCATGACCAGCAGCCAGGTTGCCTTTGGAAAGCAGGGGGGAAGCAGACACTGCATGGGCTCGTGCCACTTTAGTCTACAGTCTTTTCATTCATTCCTTCCCTCCTCCATTCACTTTTTTTTGAGCCCTAATTACATGCCAGCAGAAGCATTGCACCTAAGTGCTAGGGACAATGAGGTGATTGATCACTTTCTTTCTCCCATAGTTTACAATACTTGACTGAGGCAAACACAAGGCAGTAGGGGAAGGGGCACTTAAAAAAGACTTCTAGAAGAAGTGACACTTTGGTTGAATAGCAAAGGAGGTAACTGGATGAAGAAGGAAGGGACAGGCATTCAGATATAGGTAACAGCACAGGCAAGGCAAGGAGGTAGAAAACTTGAGAATGTGCTGATGAGCTGTGATGTGGGCCACTGGCCCAGGGAGGCATCGTGACGCAGAGAGAGAGGGGTGGCAGCAGTGACAGCAGCCTGGGCACAATTCATTTTTGTGGGAGTGGACAAAGAAACACTGTTAGCATATATCATAATAACAGTCATAGCTACCATTAATGGAACACCTTCCAAATGTCAACAGTTTGCAGAGAAATTTGCATACTTTCATCTCTAATCGTTTTGACAAACTTACAAGGCAATTTTATTATTCCTATTTCCAAATGAGGGGTCTAACATCAACCAACCAATAAATGGAATACCCAGGACTCCCCACACACACCTAACTTCAAGAAGGGTATCAGTTCCATTGCATCTCGCTGCCTCTACAATCTTTCCCGATTAATTATGGCCCTAGCATTTCATACTCCACAGAATGTCGATGTAATTGTGCCTTTTCTCCTAGTTCCCAGAGACAAAAACAGAGGTAAAGTAGAGATGATTTCACTGTTATACTCTATACCCCAGAGGTTGCAGATGCACAGCTACAGTCTGTACTCGCAGATTTGTTTTACCTGCTAGAACAATGTTGGCCTGCTTGCTACTTTAATAAGTGTTGAATAAGATACCAACATTTAAATAATTAGGAGATTTTTCTTTAACATGCCTGATTTCCAGTTTCTCTAACAGCAGAAGGCTGGTGTGCCCACAAGGCAGACATCGCGGAATCTGAGGGGCAATGTTCTCTGTGGAAGGGCTATGCCCTCCGCAGTCAGTCCGAGTCTGCACACCTTCCTTTGTATTTCCAACACTGAAATCAAAGGCAGTTGTTATTTCCTGCCACATGTTTTTTGCTATTTTTAGTTGTAAAATTAAGAGAAAAAAATGAACTCGTGCACCTCCTAAAAAACATGAATTGAGGATTTTAAGAAAAAAAAAAGGAGTGTACTTTTTTTTTGGGGGGGGGTGCATGTGAAGAACATGCAAACAAAGACTGTTCACACAGAGAAATTACAGCTTAAGGCACCATTATAAAACCAGCCACGACTGGTAGAGAAAAGATAGGTGTTGAGGAACTTAATGAACTGGAGAAATGGCAGTGTTTGTCTTTGAATGAAAGACATTCAACGTGATCTGCTGTCAAATGCCGTTCTCTTAAGTGAAAAAATTGCCAGGCCATCCAAACCTTTTTACAGACAATGCTTTTTTAAGAGTTTCTTTTGAATGCAGCAGAAATTATGTGTCCAGAGAAAAAACAAACATTTGCAAATTTTGGTATAACCAGAAACATTGTAGCTTAGCATGTTAAGAATATGGTTGAAAACTTTCAGGATAAGTTAAATTATTGGTGGTAGTTTCTATTGCAGCAAATGAGAACACAGATATGAATAACAGCATGCTGTTAGCTATACTTATTTGTGTTGTTTTGAGAGTGTGTGTGTGGGGGGCAAAGAACTTTTGAACAAGAGAGCAAAACATCAGGAAATGGTTTACTTCATGACGAGAAAGGTCTCAGACCAGTGGATATAGACTGCACTGTTCCAAAGTCTGTGTTGACTACAAATGGGGCTCTTACAAAGGGTGAGGCTGACATTGGACCTGTCAAGCAACAGATCCCTAGGCAGCAGTATTTTGTAGGGGCACTAAACAATGAGGTCTATAAGTCCATTAATTTTCTCATGCATCAGGAGTTGCTTTGGGCTAAAAATCTAAAATGAGACAAGCCGTGAATTCAGTAATTAATGTCATGAACTGACCATTCTTCTATATCTTGGAGCAAAATCAAGTCGGTGTCTGCTTGATGAATTTGCTGGCACACTTGTACTGAGATTATGGAGATTTTTTTAATTGTTCATGCCACCAAAGGGAGTAGTCCTAGCTCCACTCAGCAGCAAAGACTTAGCAGCAAAGACTGACTTGAAGTTCCAAGTTATTTGCTGACATTACAACTCATCTGCACCTTCTAAATTTTTTTCTATAGGTGCATTTACAAATATTTGCATAAATATCTCATTTGCTTCTCTGAGTCCTGACAAAATAGAGTCTTTGGGGAATTCAGTTGCTAAAAAATAATTCAGTCCACTTTCCTACATTGCAGTAAGTTTCCAGAAATGAAATTGATAGTCTGAAATTCATTCTTTGAAACTGGAACAGTGAGTACTGGATTTCAAACTTTATGAAAATAAACCAGCATTATTTGTCTTTGCTTTCTTAATTCATTTTTTTTTTTTTATCCTCACCCGAGGACATTTTCCCATTTTTTGTTCAGATATAGTGGGAGGGAGAGAGAGGGAGAGAGAGAGAGAGAAACATCGACATGAAAGGGACACATCATGCTACCCACATAACCCAACCAGGGCCGGGGACAAACTGCAACCGAGGTACATGCCCTTAGCGGAAACCGAACCTCGGTCTCTCTGGACCACAGGCCAATGCTCTAAACACTGAGCAAAACTGTTCAGGGTTCTTAATTCATTTTTGATTACACAGACTAAGGGCTGTGATTTGAAGTTCTCAAAGTGTAGTACAAAATGGTACTGAAGACTAAATGTGACAACACTGATAGCCAGGACATACACAGATCTTGGAGGAGATCATCCTAATTATAAGAACCATTTACAATATTTCTATCCATGTTGGAAAACCTTGTTTTTAGAAATATGAATCTGAATAAAGCTACATACCAACCCTAGTGTAAGTATTTAAGGTTATATACCACACTCACAGTAAAGAAATACAGGACCTGACTGACATCTCTGTATAGAATAAACGATGTCAGTTTTTCATTACAAATAAAAGCAGTAATGAATTATGAAAAAAAAGTAGTAGTAATTAACTGTTTCCTTTTTCAGTTAGTTTAAACATTTTAGTATAAAATAGAGTATGGATAGCACATACATTTACATATATATACACACACATACACATACGCATACACATACATATACATGTACATGTACATATATGTATATGATTCCATTTCTGGGACTTTGTTACTCTTACACTCACTACCTACCTGGCCCTTTAGACGTTTGCTGCTCATTTGTTTTATAGCTATTTGTTACCAACTTTATATCTTTTACTAGGAGTAAACTGCTCAGAGTTAGTTTTATTTCATTCATCTTCTTATCTCCACAGCCCTAAAATAAAAGTGAGTCCTTAGTAGATGGTCGATAATAGTTGGTTAAATTAAATTAAATTGCCTTTTGGGCTGTCATTAATCTATAAAATACTAGATAAATTTCCCAGCAAACCAACATGTTTATTTTGATTTCAAGAAACATGAGTAATATTCATCAACAGACCTAGTCCCAAGGTGATTAACATGTTTCTCTCGGTCCCTGGGTACCCTCCCCGCTGTGCCCCCTGCAGAAGGGAGGGCGTTCTCCCTGGGTGCAAGGCCTCCAGGGGAGCAGGTATGTATGGCACAGTGTAGGCGGGGTCCACCAGCCACCCCCGAGGAAGTGCCCCTTAACAAACAGGACATATTCCCCCGTGATGGAGAGGGATTGAGTAGCAGGCAGCCTTCCAGACAGGGGGCTCTGCTTGTATGATTTCATTCTCTACTCCGGTCTCCACAAGATCTAAGGTGGTTTATTAGTTAACATGATTGCCAAAAACCCTCTGTGGCAATTTTCTTAATCATTTTTCTGCCTCTAATGAGGACACGCCTTCTTGAGACTTAGGATGGCGTATGATTATTTCACTGTGAAATCTCAAATTAGTGAGATGTTTTTTAGGAGATAATTTTACTAAACTGACATTTGTTGTGTCTAACCCTTTCAAAGCAGAGGGAGTATAAAGAGAACTTTGAATTGTTATTGTATCTTCTGATGAAATTCCTTTATGCACGAAGGGATATATGCTTTGAAAGCCTCTGTTGGAGTCCCTTGGTGTGTACCTACCATGGCATAGAAAAATGATTGGTGAAATGGAAAAAGAAAAACTGTCTTCACACACACACACTCACACACACACACGCGCGCGCACACACACACACACCTATATTGGTTACTTAGTTACCTTGTTG